AGTGGGGCATTGTTGGCACATGATGGCATATATTACGTTGGTGGATGTGCAGGAGAATGTACCAGTGACAGTATGGCTGATCTGGTTAGGTCCTGTGATGGTGTTGCTGGTGTATATACCATAATATACACCATAATAATATAATATACCATAATAACTCGAACTCAGGAACCAATCCTTGCAACAAACCTCGGTGCCAACTCTTCCCACATATTTACACCACCAACACCATCACAGGACCTAACCAGATCAGCCATACTGTCACTGGTACATTCTCCTGCACATCCACCAACGTAATATATGCCATCATGTGCCAACAATGCCCCACTGCTATATACATCGGCCAAACAGGACAGTCCCTACGTAAAAGAATCAATGGACACAAATCTGATATTAGGAATGGCAACATACAAAAACCTGTAGGGGAACACTTGGATCGTTGTCCAGGATGGGTTGAAGATCACTAATGATGTGTTGGAGAGGTTTTAGCTGGGGACTGTAGGTGATGGCCAGTGGTGTTCTGTTGGTTTCTTTCTTGGGTTTGTCCCGTAGCAGGAGGCTTCTGGGTACACATCTGGCTCTGTCAATCTGTCTCCTCACTTCCTCGTGTGGGTATCACAGTTTACAGAATGCTTGTTGAAGATCTTGTAGGTGTAGGTCTCTGTCTGAGGGGTTGGAGCATATGCGGTTGTACCTCAGTGCTTGGCTGTAAACAATGGATCGTGTGGTGTGTCCGGGATGGAAACTGGAGGCATGCAGGTAAGTATAGCGGTCGGTAGGTTTTAAACAAAGACTGTGAATGGCTTGCTAACTACAAAAGCAGCTTCTGCTCTCTTGGAATTCACACCTCCAGATCAGCTGCTAGAAGTGGGCCTCGTCCTCCTTGATTGGATCCACCTCGTCATCTCCAGCCTGATCCTGGCCTGCATATTTATTCCTGCCTCTGGAAATTTCCACTACATGCATCTGACGAAGTGGGTCTTTGCCCACGAAAGCTTATGCTCCTACACTTCAGTTAGTCTATAAGGTGCCACAGGACTCCTCGTCGCTCTAGTAGGCCAAGATTTTTAAAATGCATTATTTGCCAAGGTTGTTCTCTCACATTGTTGCTATCTTGAGAGGTCATTATGTTGGGGAGATTCTGTACTAAACATTTTTATTATTATAATTAATTTTTACATAAGAATGGACATACTGGGTCAGACCAGTGGTCCATATAGCCCAGTATCATGTCTTCCAATCGTGGTCAAGGCCAGGTGCTTCAGAGAGAATGAACAGAACAGGTAAACAAGTGATCCATCCCCTGTTGCCCATTCCCAGCTTCTGGCAACAGGCTAGGGATACTCAGAACATGGTATTGCATCCCTCCCCATCCTGGCTAATAGCCACTGATGGACCTATTCTCCAGGAATTTATCTAGTTCTTTTTTTAATCCTGTTATAGTTTTGGTCTTCACAGCATCCCCTGGCAAAGAGTTCCACGGGTTAACGTTGTGTGAAGAAGTACTTCCTTTTGTTTTTTTAAAACCTGCTGCCTATTAATTTCATTGGGCGACTGCTAGTTCTTGTGTCATGTGAAGGATTAAATAACATTTCTTTATTCACTTCACGCCAGTCAAGATTTTATAGACCCCCTTTCATAATCCCCCTTTAGTCGTCTCTTTTCTAAACTGAAAATTCCCAGTCATTTTAATCTCTCTTCCTGTTTCATATCCCTAATCATTTTAGCTGCCCATCTCTGTACCTTTTTCAATTCCAATATTTTTTGGGGGGATGGGGTGACCAGAGTATTCAAGGTGTGCACATACCATGGATTTATATAGAGGCTGCATCTGTGACAACCCACATCTTAGAAGAGTTAAATGCTTGTCGATTGGACCCCAAACAGATGGTTGCTTGTGCATTTGATGGAGCTGCAAACTTATCTGGAAGACATGGTGGAGTACAAGCTTTGCTCAGAGAAAAGTGTAACTCTGACCTCTCCTATACTCACTGAAGAGGCCATATACTCCAACTAGTACGAGCGGCAGAATCTTCAAAAGACATTAAAAAAAAGCTATAAATTGAATGTCTTCATTATATTCTTTTCATAGCAAGAGTCCAAAAAGACTGAATGTCTTGGAAAATATAGAAGATACACTGGGACTGAAGTTCAACTTTGTCCAACATGGGAAAACCCGCTGGTTCTCTCATGAGCGATCCTTGGCTGTTGTCTTAAAATTAATCCAGCCATTATTACTGGCTTTGGAAAGTATCTACCAAGATGGGATGGATCTACGTAATGAGGCTGGTGGATAACTTTTGCTACTATGTTCAGAGAACTCTATTGCCATTCTCTCTCTCGTAAATATACTGTTGAAACCACTTGGGTCATTAAACAATGCCATCCAGGCATCTGGTACAACAGTAGTAGATCATAGAATAGGAGGACTGGAAGGGACCTCGAGAGGTCATTGAGTCCAGTCCCCTGCCCTCATGGCAGGATCAAGTACTGTCTAGACCATCCCTGACAGACATTTATCTAACCTACTCTTAAATATCTCCAGAAATGGAGATTCCACAACCTCCCTGGGCAATTTATTCCAGTGTTTGACGACCCTGACAGTTAGGAACTTTTTCCTAATGTCCAAGCTAAACCTCCCTTGCTGCAGTTTAAGCCCATTGCTTCTTGTTCTATCCTCAAATCTATCCTAGTAGATCTTTGTCCAGCAATAGAAGCTACATTTGGATCAATCAAAGAGCTATCCATTGAAAAAGTACTGGAAGAAGCAAAGATTTCAGTCCAGAAATTGACTAATGAAGGCATTTATATTGAATCCTTAAGTGAAGTGTTTAAGACAACTGAAAATGTACACAGACTTGATTCTTAAAAATCTACAACAGCGACTTCTAGATTCTACTCAACCTCTCCGTAGCTTTTACAGATGCCTGTCCTATAAAACACTGACATTGAGTGGAGTGAGGCACTACCAGTAATGGGGCTGCCATGTGCTCAGGACAGAATAGAGAATATGAATACAGAGTGGAATATCATACGACAAATGAATGAAGATTTGACTTCAACTTCTTCTTTATCATCATTAGTGGCTCGACCGGATCTTTGTGCTATGTTTCTTGGGATGAAAGAAGTAGGAATTCATCTCTTGCTACTCCCAGTCACAACAGCTACAGTTGAGCGTTCTTTTTCATCATTGAATAGAATTTTGTGTTCTGAAAGAAGTCACCTTCTGCCTGATCATGTGAATGAACTAATGAGCATATCAACTGAAGGAATGGAAGTACCGGAAACACGAGAAGCCACCGAAGATGAACACATTGCATTCGAGAAGTTCATTAACAGAGCTGTGCAAAATTATATCAAGAAACCAAGAAGGATGTAGACATAGTGCTTCATAGAAGACTTGAGTAGCCAACTTTAATTTGTGTGATTTTAAAATGGTCATGAAACATTTTTCAGTTTTTGCTATGGTGCCATACAGCCCACCTTCACCCTCATCGGCCCTGACACCCCCTGTAAATTCGAACACCCCCCCTAATTTTCAATTCCTGGGGAAAACACTGCTACAGCCAGAGGTAGGATGAGACCTGATAGACCAGTGAGCTGGAATTTAAAATCTTATGTACCTAACGTGTATGTCTGGCTCCCTCTAGAGGATGGCAGGTAGTACTGCAGGTATTAGAATGCCAACTGATCAGATTAGGCAGTTTTTGGCCTGAAGGCCAAATCCTGGTTCAAAATTGTATGGAGGGCCAGGAAGGGGAGGCTGTACCTCCCCAATAGCCATGTGTTGCCCAGCATCCAACCCCCTGCTCCCCATACCTCTAGGGATCCTTGCCCCCTTTCCAAATTCCTCTTGCTCCCCATATCCTGACCACCCCCAGGGACTCCTCATCCCCTATCCAAACTGCCCTACTCCCCCATTTCCTGACCATTCCCTATGCTCCCCATCTCCCAACTGCCCACCTGTGATCCCTTGCTCCCTAGACAAGCTCCCCTACTGCTTCCCGTCCCCTCTGTGACACCCATCCAACCCTCCCTTCCCCACCCCTCCCCAGCCCCGCTCTCTATCCTCTGACCACACTGCCAGAAGTGCTGGCGTTGGTGGTGCTGTCAGCTGAGGAAGCAGGGGACAGATGGGGAGGGGCCAGGGCCTGGACAGAAGGTGTCCACGGGCCCTCAAACTGTAGTTTGCTCTCCCCAGAGATAGGCCATATGCCAAATGGAAAGAGAGAAGGGTGACGTTTTGAATTTCTTTAGAACAGCGAACTGTCACTCAAACAGCATCCACGATGTGATGTCAAACTATGGAAGCTCTAGTCTATAAAAACAAATTAAAAGTCCTGTGGCACCTAAAAGACTAAGATTCACTGAGGCATAACTTTCCGTGGGTCAAAACCACTTTGTCAGATACATGGATCTCACAAAGTGGTTTTTACCTACAAAAGCTTGTGCCCAAATAAATCTATTAGTCTTTACAGTGACACAGGACTCCTCATTGTTTTTACAGATACAGACTACCCCGGAGTCTAGCTCTAATTCCAGATACCCCGGAGAGCTTTGAAAGTATAAACCCTCCAAATACAAGCTGCACCTTCCACTATTCACAGCTTTTTCTGATGGGGAGCTGTAGCATAGAGATTGTCTCCTTGGGTAGTGCCAGTCTGGCTAAAGAAAAGAGGAATAAGGACATCTCATCACGTGATTTGTCACACTGGCATGAAGTCACGTGACCACAGCATAGACAGAGCCCTGCAGGGTGTTGTTACTCATTAGAACCTAGATCAGCTATATTAGGCCACAATATTAAAAAACCACGGATGTAGCGTTGGTGATTACTCAAAGCACATGACAGCTGCTACAGAGATGGAAATATTTGCGAGAGCATCACTTGTACAGTTGTGAGGGGGATGCTGTGAATTTTTTTAAGCTAAAATAAAATATTTGCTCAGTTGAGAACAAAAATCTGTGTGTGGGGGAAGTACCTAATTAGGCGATCTTACCTCTACATCTTGCTTGTTAGCTAATACTAGGATGGGAACCCCTTCCAGAGCTTCACTGATGACCACTTTCTCTGTAAAGCACAGAAACAGGCAATGTCTAGATAACACATAGATTCCTCCAAATATATAAACTACATTGGCAGGATAGAAACAGGAGTGAAAGGCACCACATGCATCACTGTGTAATTTGATCAAACCTTCTGGAACCCGAATTTGTCATGATTCGGAAACATCACTACTTCCTCCCTTTACTTTCCTCGGCATGGAGTATTTTAGGCAGGAATTAATTGGACAAGTTAAGGTCTGGTTATAAAAAAAGATGCTACATTTGAAAAAGGGGGACAATGTGCCGACAGAGAAGGAAAATAAGAAGAAAGGAAACATCCAAGATAAAGAAAGGCTACTATGACTAAAGATTTTGTCAACAGTGTCTGAATAATGGAACAAGCTACGTGCCCACATAGCCGCATGATTTCCACAAGTACGACCACACAGTCGGCAAACCAGGATATGCACACAGGCAGTCACCTGCATAACAAACATCAGCTGCATATTCCAGTCCAAGTGGCAGGAAGGGGGGGGTTGACTGAAATAAGACGACATTTCAAGTACCAAACTCAAAGCCCAACATACTCACCAAATGCTCTTTTGGATTCTGACAGCCTCTCCTCATCTGTGGAGTCGATAACATAGATGATCCCGTGGGATTCAGCATAGTACTGAAATCAAGCACAGGTGTTAGCATCTAACAGCTGGGGCTGCTTTTCTTTTCAATGTTGATGTGAAGTGAATATGATTTTTGGTACCCATGAAAGAGATGGATTGAGATCAATTAGCCAGAACCAGGCACAGTGCCGGCAGTTGATTTTGCAAGCCCCAGCCACACAGATCTGCAGAAGTTTCTCCTGTGCAGACAGGTACGGTGCACTGCCTGCTCCTCCTGTGGAGAGCCTCCTACTGAATTCTGCCAACACACCTCAGTCTCAACGTACAGTACCCTGTGCTAGTCCAGCGTCACGGGCTCTCCTAAGCCGAGCCCGACAGTGGTACTCAGCTCTGCGGAGGTTGTCTGATGTGCACAAATTCACAAAGGGCTATGTAGAGATGACAAAACCCTTCACATTTGCTCCAGGAAACAGATATGAGCCAACAGATCAGCACAGCCCAGACTGGGTTGCTTTTAGAGCATGGTACAAAGTATGTTTAGTCAAGTGCTTGTTAACTATTGATCTGGCAGCCTGGAAGGTCCATTTATTGTCGGTCAGATTTGCCCAACAGTAATAGTGGCTTGTCTGCTGACCTGCAAGTACACTAATTCAGTATCTACAATGGACAGCAGGCAGAAGCCATTGTGAAGAGTATTAGGGATGTAAATTACATATAGTAACTGTGTAACCGATAAAAATTCTATTGGTTACACAGTTAACCGCAGGGCTGCCGGCTCCCAGTTCTACAGTGTGGTGGGCCCGGCTGGGCTGCTCCAGCGGGGCCTGTGGCGCTGTGGGTAGGGGGCTGCTTTAGCTGGGGCCAGGCACCGGTGAACCAGTAAGCATCACTTGGCAACATCCCTAGAGGGTATGTAATGATTTTTCATGGCAGTGTAGCTGTCACAAGACATAGGACTCTGCTGGAAAGGTGGCTGTCCAACACACATGGCTCTTAGGGATGGAAGCTGGTGCTGACAACAGCAACAGACTTTATTTTTGCACTGCGCTTTTGCACAAAAACTTGACAGCTATCTACACTGGCTGCTTGATTTTGCGCAAAAGCACTGATGTTCTACTGTCCGAAATCAGTGCTTCTTGCGCAAATGCTTTGATGTTCCCGTTCGGGCAAAAGCCCCGATGGCGAAAATGTTTTTGCGCAAGAGGGCCAGTGTAGACAGCTAAAAACTGTTTTGCGCAAAAAAGCCCCGATGGCGAAAATGGCGATCGGGGCTTTCTTGCGCAAAACCGTGTCTAGATTGGCACGGATGCTTTTCCGCAAAAAGTGCTTTTCCGTTAAAAGCATTTGCGGAAAATCAAGCCAGTCTAGATGTAGCCCCAGTAATTTTTGCATCAAATCCATAATGCCCATTTGAGTGATCATACCTAGCTCTAGTAAAGCGCTTTGAGATCGTGGATGAGTGCTATAGAACAGCAGTTCCCCACCACCGGTCCATGAACACGTCTGCCAGGCTGCAGCACATTGCCAGGCCACGCCCCCAGCTTTTATTTAGCTCCACCCGCTGGGGTTCCCAGTGAACTCCCTTCCCGCTCACAGCAGCAGGGTAAGTGGGGCGGCTGGTAGCCAGGCGTGCTGTGGCTGGGGCT